GTTTTATTGATTTTGGAGGTAATCAAAATCATAAATTTAGTTTGATCACTTGATGCCTTTATAATTGATTTTGTTCAAGAGCATCGATCTCTTGGTAAACCTCGTCATTGAATCCAAATGGGCTAGTTAGGAATTTATCCAAGATTCTTATTTTGTTGCGATTCCTGGTTTCCATGGCAAACTGCTTCTATACCACCTGAGCTGCTATTGTTCTATGAGGTGACGGCTTAGACTCGTACATTGAGTTTCATCAGAGAGTGCCTTAGTTTTATCACAAAGATCAATGAATTACTTAAATGTTGTATCATTATCACTGTACATATGAAAGCAGGGATCTTGCCTGGCTATAAATCTTTTAAAAGCTGTGAGAAATGTATTAGTAGACATTACTGATTACCTCTAGATGGATTGCCTTGGTAGGTAGACATACCTTTGCGTAGTCTACTCCGGTGTAAGTAAAAGGTTTAGAATTTAATTTTTTTACAGTACCTTTATGTCGATTGACCATTTTTATGAAAGTCAAAAGTCGATTTGAAAAATTTATATTTCGAATTTTCCCACCCTTTGGGCTTGTTATAATTATTTTAGGCGGTGTTCAAACGTCGAAACAGAATTCTAAACCTAAACCATTATGCATCTTTATTGTGCCCTTATGTCGATTGATCAATTGTTCCAAATAGAAATTAAATTGGGAAATTGTTTCTTTCGAATTTCGACCTCTTCCGGGGTATTTTGAATTATTTTAGGGTGTGGTCAAACGTTGGTACATAATTTTAAACGTTTTTAGACCTTAATTATACCTTTTTGTTGATTGAACATTTTCTTAAAGTTGAAATTCGTCGTAGATGTTCTGTTTTCTATAATTTACCCATTGAAGTTATTTTAGGAGGTGGTTAAAAAAACCTAATGGCTGGTCAAACATATTCCAAAATTAATCAATCCTATTCGCTCCGTGCGAAGTCATGGAAAGGGAAGCAAAAGCGATACTAGCGCTAGCTGCGGATAATTCGTGCATTTTAGGGCGATATTTTGTAATTTTGGCATATCAAATACACGTATACATTTTACTTTTATTCAAAACTTAGGTGAAAACAATAGAATAAGCAACCGGAGTTACTGTGTTGAAAATTGTACAAAAAAAAAACAGTGAAACTTATATAAAAAATTTCAGTAGCAAAGTGGAAATTAAATCAAAGAAATAAATGGATAGGTGTACAATAAGAAGAAAAATTACCTTTATTTTTGTAATAATAACAGTAATGCTGGAAATAGTAGACATCAGAAACTTGAAAGGTTTTAAATAAACAATAAATTATCATTTTACGATGTTCTTTAATATCCCTTTATTCTTAAATGTTCATTCAGCAAGGACTAGATTTCAAGATTTCTGCCTTTGATTATTATTATATGTGGCTGGAATACAATTTTGTAACTTACTGATGGGAAACCAGTTTTAATTATTCATTATATGTTTTCTTTCCAACAAAAATGAAAATATAAATAACGATCCTTTTTTTATACATTTTAACTTCACGCTATTATCAATAGTCCAATTAAAAAAAAGATGTAGCAGTTTTTCAATTTTTTTTAAATTAGGAAAAACCGGCTTTTCCGGAATTTTCCATTGTAAAAATGCTAATTATCTGGGCAAGTATCATTCCGATAGTGAAATTCAAAAGAGGAGGCAAAAATAGTTCGGAAATTCATTGCACAGGTAGTTTTAATGGCGAATTTCTCGCCGCCAGAAGTGCTTTTACCAAAAAGTCGTTTTTTCTTTTTTTTGATCAGAACCATGGACATGAAATTTGCGATGAATTTGTGGCGAAATTATAAATGTTAGACATATGTGCCCATGAGAGAAGTTGCGTATTTTTTTGTTGGCTCTCAAATAAAATAAGTCCCTCGGCGAATCTAATTTTTCGGGAATTCGCAGGAAACCAGAGGCGTAGTTTTTTTTTTAATTTTTTTCCCATGTGATTTTTTCCGGGTTTTCCGAAAACATCCAACAAAATAAATATATTTGAAAAAACTAACTTCGCCATCGAAAAGAGCACAAAAAAATACACAAAAAGGTATACTTTAAAGATGTTAGGAAATTAATCCTAAGCCTGAGTGTAAGTTCCAACTTGGTGATAAGCTTGCTTTTTGTTCCCTAATATCTGGTAATTCTATATTTTGCACAAAACTCAAGAAACGTCTTATAACAAGTCAGTAAAATACAATTTAATAAATTTTAAGCCTAATAAATTTAGATATGCAAGAAATTTAAAACTGGAAATCGCAAAAAAATCAAATTACAGTAATGTAGTGTATACACGAGTTTTGGATCCCGCGGAGCGCGTGTAATGGGACTTTTGTCGGGAGAATTCTACAACTTAGAAGAAACATACACACTTTAAACTTTGTATACACATTTAGAAGACATGAAATTTGGGTTTGTTTAATTTTCAGACAAAAAAACTAAACATTGTCAATTTTAGGCAACTTTTCTCAAAAACCGTGTTTTTAGGTCGTCACTCAATGAACAGTGGTCAAAAAAATAGATAAAATATATTTGCAGAATTTTCCGTAATGTAATCGTATTCTAGACACAATAGAGTACACAAAAACAAAGTTTTGAGCCATTGGGTGCATTTTTGGCATTTTTGTGCCACTTCAAACTTTCAAAAAAAATTATTTAATTGTTTGATATTAGCCAATTATGGTCCGATGTCGGTAAAATTCACACACACATAAGATTTCACATTTAAGAGTAAGCTTTGTAAGTGGCATTAAAAAAATTCAAATAGTTTGGCCGTTATAGGCAAACAATGAAATTAGGACCGCGGTGCATTTTGCCCTTCCGCCATATGCCCAATTTTGGGATTTCTCTTGTCCCCTTCAGGGAATCACTAGTCACATCCCTTAAGTTCAAAACACATTTTTGTTTTTTCAAATATCTTAATTTTTACCAATGTTATAAAGAATTTAGTGTTTGAATACTAAACAAATTTCAATCGTCCATACCGCGTGAACGATGCATCGGATCAAACTTTCTCAAGAGACATAAAAATTAGCATTTTTCCTAAGCTTTCAAATATCGTAAACTGCGTTTTAAAAATATTGATTTATTTCCGACATGCGCCTGCGCAAAATTGAAAAATTGACAAAATCCAAAATTTCGGCACTTTCGAAAAACTGCTACATTTTGTTTTGCCTTTTTTCGAAAAGATCACCTCAAAATACATATAATCCATTTTGTTTCATCTAATTACAATTTAATGTAAGCTCAAAACCCGTAATTTAATTCGATTATAAATGGTATTTTTTATTTTGACAGAATAATTCTTCAATAGGCGAGTTCGGTCAGTCAGGGGCTGGAGCGGGACAAATTTTAGGGTGCTTTTAAATGACATTTAAGCGTGTTAAACTGTCACTAATCGGACTAAACCTAACGGTAAAAGGGTCGTTTGGAGTTAAAAGTGTTAAAGGAGTTAAAGGAACTTGGCAGACCGAACGCAATGTAAGACAACGTATTAGACTTAGGCAACTTCTTATACATTTTCCAGTAAATACTGTTGCCTGCCTATATTTTATTATTCATTTTTATTGATTATACATAATTTTCTTTAATTTAAGAGATAAAAATATATAATAATAATAAATTAATGTTTTACTTGTTTTACAAATCCATATACTTTTATTAAAACTAACATATACAGTATGGTTCAAATGAAAGGAATAAATTCATTATAATGGAACTAGTTGGTTTTTCGAAAAAATGCTCGGACATGTCAATTTTGTTTACTTAAAGCGCAATTTTTTAAATAAAATTCAAGTTTCCCCTACTTCCCATTTTTGGGCAGTGACGTCATTGACAATTTTTTTAAATAGCAACCCCAATTTTTTTTTCTTGATTTTGATAGATCTTGCAATTTCCTACTTGGAAACATAATATTTGAAATATCTGACAACAATTTTTTTTGAAAGAAAGTCATTTAAATATCAAATACATAAATTTTATTTTATTTTGAGACACAATAAATGAATAAAAGATAAATATTTGTAATTAAGTGCTTAATCTAAAAAAAAAATAATAATAATAATAAAAAGAATTTAATGACAATTTTACAAATTCTTTTTATTATTGTTATTTTTATTATTGTTATTTTTATTATTATTATTATTTTGTTAGATTAAGCATTTAATTACAAATAATTATCTTTTATTCATTTATTGTGTTCTCAAAATAAAATAAAATTTATGTGTCTGATCTTTAAATGTCTTCTATTCAAAAAAAATTGTTATGTAAGATATTTCAAATATTATGTTTCCGAGTAGGAAATTGCAAGATCTATCAAAATCAAGAAAAAAAAATTGAGGTTACTATTTAAAAAAATTGTCAATGACGTCACTGCCCAAAAATGGGAAGTGGGGGAAAATTTAATTCTATTTAAAAAATTGCGCTTTGAGTAAACAAAATTGACCTGTCCGAGCATTTTTTCGGAAAACCAGCTACTTCCATTATAATGAATTTATTCCTTTCATTTGAACCATACTGTATAATACTTTTTAATTACGAATTCTATTAAAAATTGCATTTGTCAGTATACGCCAAAATAGTCCATTAATACCAAAACGAATTGGCGCTGCTGTCGCGCACGGAGCGAATATGATGCATTCAGTTTTGAAAAATATATACTTCGGAGGCTAAGCAAGCACTCATCCTTTAATTTTTTGTAAATATTTATGCTTCTGAGAGCGACTAAACATGGTGAATAGGTAATTAAACGCATATTGCTTTTAAAACTAAAATTTTCGAATTTTGGGTGGCCAGCTTCACAAACTCACACAATATCTGACTTCAATCTCTTTTCCAATTATTGTAGAAAATTTTGTTTGTTTAAATTGTAACATTTTTGATTGCGCTCGTTCTGCAATCTTTCAAACTCGTGATAAATTAGCATCTTTTTACACTTGTTGTACAATATACTATTTGCTAATTATAATTTTTGTTTTAGGTAGTCAAATCAGCTTCTGTTATTTCAAATTATAACTATGGACAACACTTGTTTATATTTATTCCTTCTATTTTAATATTAGGAATTCTGTTATTTTTTTCTATATATTGTTTGAAGAAAAAACGTCGAAGAAGGGACAATGTAAGTAAAGTTACATTTAAAAAAAGTTTTAATTTTTAACCAAAATTTCATGTGATGATTTTACATCCCAAGATAAGGTCGCAACCAGGGGCGGTTTCTCTATTGGTTCTTTTGCGCAGTGAACACCCAGTTAAATTTCATAAGAGCACATTATTTTAAAATCACATATAAATAACTTAATAATATAAATTCACTTTAATATATTTATTATTTTCGTACGTATTAATCTCTACTTTTTTTAGTACCCCATTGTGCTAAGGCCGATCGCGTCTGTCGTTTCAATATGTCTAGTGAACGCGAGAGATATCTGAGAATGAATGTTAAAAAGGCAGGTTAGATCCGTGAAACAGCAGTGTGCCTGCTTGAAATCACTCTATTTTTAGCATCATTTTGTGCATCGCACGTAGATTACGTCACGACAGTTAACTTTTCGATTATTTTCGATTCTTTTTGATTCTTTTCGATTCTTTTCGATTCTTTTCGATTCTTTTCGATTCTTTTCGATTCTTTTCGATTCTTTTCGATTCTTTTCGATTCTTTTCGATTCTTTTCGATTCTTTTCGATTCTTTTCGATTCTTTTCGATTCTTTTCGATTCTTTTCGATTCTTTTCGATTCTTTTCGATTCTTTTCGATTCTTTTCGATTCTTTTCGATTCTTTTCGATTCTTTTCGATTCTTTTCGATTCTTTTCGATTCTTTTCGATTCTTTTCGATTCTTTTCGATTCTTTTCGATTCTTTTCGATTCTTTTCGATTCTTTTCGATTCTTTTCGATTCTTTTCGATTCTTTTCGATTCTTTTCGATTCTTTTCGATTCTTTTCGATTCTTTTCGATTCTTTTCGATTCTTTTCGATTCTTTTCGATTCTTTTCGATTCTTTTCGATTCTTTTCGATTCTTTTCGATTCTTTTCGATTCTTTTCGATTCTTTTCGATTCTTTTCGATTCTTTTCGATTCTTTTCGATTCTTTTCGATTCTTTTCGATTCTTTTCGATTCTTTTCGATTCTTTTCGATTCTTTTCGATTCTTTTCGATTCTTTTCGATTCTTTTCGATTCTTTTCGATTCTTTTCGATTCTTTTCGATTCTTTTCGATTCTTTTCGATTCTTTTCGATTCTTTTCGATTCTTTTCGATTCTTTTCGATTCTTTTCGATTCTTTTCGATTCTTTTCGATTCTTTTCGATTCTTTTCGATTCTTTTCGATTCTTTTCGATTCTTTTCGATTCTTTTCGATTCTTTTCGATTCTTTTCGATTCTTTTCGATTCTTTTCGATTCTTTTCGATTCTTTTCGATTCTTTTCGATTCTTTTCGATTCTTTTCGATTCTTTTCGATTCTTTTCGATTCTTTTCGATTCTTTTCGATTCTTTTCGATTCTTTTCGATTCTTTTCGATTCTTTTCGATTCTTTTCGATTCTTTTCGATTCTTTTCGATTCTTTTCGATTCTTTTCGATTCTTTTCGATTCTTTTCGATTCTTTTCGATTCTTTTCGATTCTTTTCGATTCTTTTCGATTCTTTTCGATTCTTTTCGATTCTTTTCGATTCTTTTCGATTCTTTTCGATTCTTTTCGATTCTTTTCGATTCTTTTCGATTCTTTTCGATTCTTTTCGATTCTTTTCGATTCTTTTCGATTCTTTTCGATTCTTTTCGATTCTTTTCGATTCTTTTCGATTCTTTTCGATTCTTTTCGATTCTTTTCGATTCTTTTCGATTCTTTTCGATTCTTTTCGATTCTTTTCGATTCTTTTCGATTCTTTTCGATTCTTTTCGATTCTTTTCGATTCTTTTCGATTCTTTTCGATTCTTTTCGATTCTTTTCGATTCTTTTCGATTCTTTTCGATTCTTTTCGATTCTTTTCGATTCTTTTCGATTCTTTTCGATTCTTTTCGATTCTTTTCGATTCTTTTCGATTCTTTTCGATTCTTTTCGATTCTTTTCGATTCTTTTCGATTCTTTTCGATTCTTTTCGATTCTTTTCGATTCTTTTCGATTCTTTTCGATTCTTTTCGATTCTTTTCGATTCTTTTCGATTCTTTTCGATTCTTTTCGATTCTTTTCGATTCTTTTCGATTCTTTTCGATTCTTTTCGATTCTTTTCGATTCTTTTCGATTCTTTTCGATTCTTTTCGATTCTTTTCGATTCTTTTCGATTCTTTTCGATTCTTTTCGATTTTTTTCGATTCTTTTCGATTATTTTTAATTATTCGTTTTTTCCAATAATCGATTACTTTTATGAATCGATTATTTATTTATCACTAGAGTACAGCAAGTAAGTTAATAGTCGTAGTGTTTGAAAATAGTATAATAATGAAAATCGATAATAATATCTCTAAAAAATCTAAAATATCCGATTAATATAAAATAACTGGTTTTTGTATTTTGTTCGGGGTTCGCAGTGCGTATTTGAATTTACTTAATACGATTGCTTTTACTTATAGTGTAGTGTAGTGCAAATAAAGTTTTAAACAGCGAAATTTGAACAAAACCCATTACTTTCATCTTATCTTTGCAATGCCAATGATGGTTATAGTGGCTTCTGTATACCATGTAACTTAATCAAGAATTGCTTCACTAAAAGAGCAAATGTTTGTGCGAAGCATAAGAAGCATATTTCTGGATTCACTGGCAGCTCTTAGGTGTGTCCTCTTTAAAAACTAATTAAAATAACAAGGAAAATTTCTGCTTTTTTAGATTGATAAGTTCTTCGAAAATGTCACGAGTTTCAGATGAAATAAAAACGGTAGTTTCTGCGCTTGTACCATTTTTAGTAATGGTTAATCTAAGTAATGGTATCAAGAAACCTTTTCATGACTTAGGAATCTTATAAAAAATTCGGAATTTAATTGTAATAAAACGGACGATGCCAAAGAAGTTTTAAGGGATATTGGCTCTTGTACAAAGTTATACAAATGCTAAAATTATTAAAAAAAAATAAACCCCCATTTTAAATTACCACGAGCCGCCACTGGTCGCAACTCTATGTTTATATATCATTATTATCGAAGATTGAGACTACTTACACTTATTAATTTTTTTAGTCATCACCGATAAGTCTAAAACAAAATTTTTTAATATCGGAAAGGTACGCTCCTAATCCACACTATACAGCGTGTTCGGCAACTGGAGTACCAATTTTGAAAAAAGAAACCCTGTCTTTCCTTAAAGAAGTCGGAGAAGGATGTTTTGGAAAAGTTTTTAAAGGTAAGCGTGAATTTTTATCACTTACTCCAACTATCAAAACGGAACAGATATAGTCTTAATTCTTTATACAAGTGATATACCTTCACTATTATTTTGCTATAGATAAATCTGTTTATTTCGTTTATAAATTTAATTATTTAAAACTCTTAAATAATGTTAAATATAATTTAAACAATAGGTGACCATTAAATAACCTTATAAATAATTTTTTTAAATTCTTTCTCAAAATAGTAGAAAATGTTACATACAACAATTTTTTTTACAATTTTTGGATCACTACACTACGACGATAAAGGCAAAAAGCAGAGAGCACCAAAATTCCTAAAAAAATTTTTTTTTTTGTATTATATACAGGGTGTTTCCGAACTTGGCGTCCAAATTTGTAGGGGTGGTAGTTCGCATAATTTGAAACCGATTCGCAGATTTCATTTTTCCAAAATATTTAAAATAAAAGTAATAAAAAAATTAATTAAAAATTATAAACAGGTACGGTCCTGCACAGCGATAGGACCGCCTAGACTCGCGCGCGCTACGCATAGAATCAACATAATTACAAATTGCATCTGTTTTGAGGACTATTGAGCTACGCGCTCAGGGTAGGACCTGCTTTTTGATTTTTTTTTATAATGGCTCTATTTTGTTTTAGAAAAATGAAATCTGCCAATCGCTCTCAAATTATGCGAACTACCACCCCTACAAATTTGGACGCCAAGTTCGGAAACACCCTGTATATATAAATAATACTTTAATTATTATTACATATTTTAGGCTCAAAATTATTTTTTAAACATGTCATTTTTTCCTTTATTTTAAAAAATGAAACTCACCCTGCAGAATTGCTTTCCAAAATGGATATTATTATATTTTGGTAGTCAAAAATATCCTAGGGTGCCAAACCATAACATTTAAAATTTATGAATGTCAGCAAAATTACAACGTTTGCATCTTAAAGTATTTTTGAAAATTAAAAAAATTCAAAAGTTCAACTGTATCTCAAAAACTAGCCACAAGAGAACTTTGTGCCCAGTGTCATTTTAATTGGAATGTTGAAAACCGCAACATATATAAAATTTGTCAGATTCGACCGGAAACCATTTGCCATAAGGAAACTGTGGGGTCCTTTAAAATAAAATCACGGCCAACGCTGGGATTCGAACTGTGGACCCTTCCACTGAGCCACCCAGGCTCTATTTTGAAAATTTAATTTAATTTTTTTTTGTTCCACGTATTTTTAAAACGAACAATAATTACTGTTATCTGCATTCGCGTAGATACATAATAATATTTGTTACCCCATCACCCTACAGTGTGCTGCGGTCGTCATAAGTAAAGTTGCGAGTAAAAGAAGAAGGAAGAATATTCAAGAAATGCCCAGAAATGTCGTTCCATGTCAAGAAACATCTGGATGTTTCGGGAAGATTTTAGAAGGTTATATGGTTATATGGTTATATGGTTATATGGTTATATGGTTATATGGTTATATGGTTATATGGTTATATGGTTATATGGTTATATGGTTATATGGTTATATGGTTATATGGTTATATGGTTATATGGTTATATGGTTATATGGTTATATGGTTATATGGTTATATGGTTATATGGTTATATGGTTATATGGTTATATGGTTATATGGTTATATGGTTATATGGTTATATGGTTATATGGTTATATGGTTATATGGTTATATGGTTATATGGTTATATGGTTATATGGTTATATGGTTATATAGTTTTTAAATATAGAAGAGGAGAAAGAAAGGCACAGAAAGGAGAAAGAGGAGGAAAAAAAAGGCTTAGGAAGGAAGTAGATGAGGAAAAGAAAAGGCGTAGGAAGAAAGAAGAGGAGGAAAAGATAAGGAACAGGAAAGACGAAGAAGAGAAGAGGTAAAGGCGAGAATAGGAGAAGGAGGAGAGGCATAGAAAACCAGAGGTGGAAATAATGAATAGCTTGCTACACACACATTCAAGAAAACTTCAGACAAGAGGTAGGTCAGCTGAACAGTCAAATAGATCTCTTAGTCCAACAACAAGATAATTTAAAATAACAAAACACGGCTAGAGTAGAGTTAGAAAGGAAAATTAGAACTGAATAGTTGAGGTAAAAAAAAGAATTCGTAGCCTAGCTTCGGTAAGCAACAGAGAAACTGAGAACAGTACCTCGTCCTCATCTATAACCAAACCAAGCCATGTCCATATCCAAAACAAAGCCCAAAGATTGTCAAGAACAAATTGGCATACAGGCATTCGTTGATGGACTACAAGATGTGGAAATGCAGCAAACCCTTCGGATACAACATCACAAGACGCTGAGGGAGAAACTAATTGCAGCCCGGGAATTTAAAGCAGTAAAACATATCCAAATCTTCTTGCGAAAAAGTGAGAGAAATTAGATTCCAGGAAAGTCAAGAGGCCAATACTAATACTATTCTCCAATCTACCCTCTCACAAATTTTAAATATCCTGCAAAATATGCAACGAAATCGTCAAAATGGAAACAGGAGATGTTTCAGTTGCGAAAGAACCTGTGAAGGGAACGAGGCCAGGAAGTAACCTAAATCAATCTCCCGAAGCCCGTCACGAAGTCCAACAAGAAATAATTACAGCAGCTATGCGCCTCAGAGAAGTCGATCACCCACACCTAGCCGGCTTCCTAGAAATAACCAGGAAGTAGAGCATCTAAGAGGCCGTCTTCATAGCAACGCAGACATTCGCTCCAGGCGATCCTATTTAAAACGACTATGCCGGTACAGTAAAAGGCTCGTAGAACGAGAGGAACCGGTTGATAAAGTTATTCTTCAGCCTGAGAAAGGGACAAAAGAAAGAAAATGACTTGAAGGTTGTCCAAGATTGGCTCAAAAATAAATACTTGGCAAGAGATAGCCAAATACAGTGGAGCTATTAAAGGTTACTGGACTAAGTAGTAAAATTCCCTGTATCTTCACAATGGCCTATTGCAACGGAAGTGGGAGAGCTCCGATGTAGTTAATATAATCCGCCAATTGGTACTGCAGAAATGTATTGGAGGAGCTTTATAGCAGCCGTTCGGGAACGCTTTCAGACAACAGCGACAAAGCAGAACCTAGAATCGACATGCGTGTTACCGGTACACATTTTGAGAGAGGCGACCCAGAATGGCTGTGCAATCCCAAGCGCCAAGAAGGACTGTCAGAAACTGAAACGAAACTGGGAAGGCCCCTACACCGTTCTTACGAAAAATAAGCGACCTGATCTACCGCATTCAGCGTCATCAGGAAACAAACCCAAGGTAGTTTGCATTGGAACGTAGCGCCATACCGTTGTCCAGATTCTCTCCGTTAGTTCCAACCAAGTCATAGTAATCATGTTATTTGGGACGAATAACTAGAGAGGAGGGAGCAGTGTTACCTATTACCCTACAGTATGCTGCGGTCGTCATAAGTAAAGGTGTGAGTAAAAGAAGACGGAAGAATATTTGAAAAATGTTCAGAAATGTCCAGAAATGTCATTTCATGTCAAGAAACATCTGGACGTTTCGGGAAGGTTCTAGAAGGTTAAAGCGAGATATATAAGTCGGTGATCCTGACGTCAAAAGTCAGTTTGATGATAGACGTTAACGTTCATGTTATCAGTTATAACTAATTGCATTGTAAAGTTGAGTTAAAATAAGTTGAGTTACCAAAAACCTGCGTAATAATATAAATACACAATTTTTTTAATACAAAAAATTCAGAACAATCTACAAGAAAAAACTATTACTATTAATCTAAAACTTTATTAAAAATTAGTCTTAAAGGTTTCGATGGCTTAGAAATCATTTCCAAAATATCCTGAATTTCATCTCCATTAACAATATCAACATTAAAATTTTTAACAATTTTAGAAACAGTCATTTGTAGCTGTGTCTCAGCAATTTTTCTCCCTATACATGATCTGGCCCCAATTCCAAAGGGTAAACTAGCTTGCTGGAGCGAACTATCGCCACTTCCCCTTGTCCATCTGTTTGGATTGAAATCTTCAGGGTTCTTAAAATATTTGGAATGTCTTCCGCTTGTGTAAATAGACATAACGATTAAAGTTTGAGCTGGAATATTGTATCCACAAATAGTTATATCTTCTGGTGGAAAACGAGTTAAAAATGGAGCTACTGGATATAATCTTAAAGTTTCCTTAATTGTGTTTCGCAAATAAGAAGATTTTGGATTGATTTTTAAATTATTTCTAAGTTCTTGTTGGATATGTTTGTGTTTTGATAATAGGTACAGTACCCAGGCCATTGTATACGATGTGGTATCGCCCGCGCCTAATATTAAATCTATAATTATGCGATTTATAGTTTTTTTATCTACATTTACTTCATACATTTTGTATAATAAACCTTCAATGCCTTTATAATTTATACTAATAATATCTAATAATTCAGTAGCTAATTCTAAAGATTCTTTCACAGAACATTCAAAATTTTTCCACCGTTTTAAATTAAACTTCTCAGCTAAGCCTGCGGGAATTAATTGCAATTTACATGTATTTTCAAAAACTAAATAAACAGTTCTAGCTAACTTTTTTACTAAATGATCAACTTCTTTACTACATTGTTGATAAGTTTTAGCACCAACTAGCACAGCAAGTATCACATCCATTGACCATTTATATAATTCATGCTCCACGTTTAAAAATTCTGTTTCACTGTGATTTTTGATACGATTTATTAGGACGTTGGTTGCTATATCACACGAGTCTTCTATCCAACTTAAATTTCCTTTGAGAAGTATTTTGTTCATTATATTTCGATAATGACGCCATTCTTCGTCGTCCATAAAGAATAACCCTCTTGAATAGTTGTGTTTTTCGTTGTAGATTAACCACGATTCTGGTTTTATATGTTTTGGGTGTTTCCCTAAAAAAAATACATAAAGTTAGATGTTAATGTTAAGTAGCCACAACTTAAAAATCATTCAAAAAGGAAAAGCCAAATACAAGTTGTCCAAAAAGAGAACCAAAAGTTTAATTAGGGAAATTCCAATTACTAGTAAAACTAAAGAAACGTTATTTTCAAGACGGGGATTCCAGAAAACAATTTTGTGAAGCCCTTCTGTAAAGTTATAAGTCCTCAACGAGAACTTATAAATATAACCAATTCACATTTTCATTTTACATTTTACTCTGTTGAAATCAAGTCAAGCTAAAATTTATGTATTGTTGAAAAATTAATTACATTCTTATTAACATAGATAGATAACATAATAGTATGAGGTAGCTAAAAATAAAAGTAAAAAATTTTTAAAATTCAAAGAAAAGAAACAAATTTTCACAAATGAATTTTTTTTGTTTTTATTTTTTTTAAATTTTAAAATGTCAAGTCATAAAATATAATATGAAGAACAAAAATGTATATGCACAACAGCAAGTACAAATATGACAATTGACAAATATATAATATACACATAAATTACAATGAGCTACTTAATTCAACCGATCACGGAAAAATTCATCCATTTTGTAGTAGGTCTTTTCAAGTTTCTTAACTTGTTTTTGAAATATTTTTAATGAGTCAGCATTTCTTATATTAATTGGCAGGTGGTTAAATATCTTCTTCCCGCTATACACAATAAAACCATATACCAAGCCGGAAGAGGGTATAGGCAAGCGAAGGTAAAAGATTATTCCAGTATTGCTGGAGGTAATAATATTACAATTATATTTTTTAAAAACTAAAAGTACCGTTTCTAAAATAAACAGACAAGTGAGTTTTAGTTTATTGTGCCTAATAAATAATGGCTTACAAGAGACAATAGCATCAACTTTGCACATATGTCTTATGGCCCTCTTCTGTAAGACAAAGATTCAGTAAACAACTCGGAAGAACATGTTCCCCAGAAACTTATAGCATAGGTATCGCAGATGGGATTCTACCAATGAAAAGTATACACTCCTTGCAACCTAAATATCTAAGTTGTATGCAACAGTTCTTACTGCAAAACACCCAGAGGACAGCTTCTTATACAAACTATTAACATGGATTTAAAATTTTAATTTCTGGTCAATAAATAAGCCTAAGAATTTATTTTCGGGTTTTTGCAAATTTGTTGTTGTCCAACTGAAATTATAGCGATATCGCCACTGAATGAGAATATATTTCTTTTTGATATATTAAGAGATAAATAATTTAATACGCCATTCTTTAATCTTAATAATCTCTTTGTTAATAGTATTAGACAACTCTTCAATATTCTCACTCTCCTAGAGTATTGTTGTATCATCTGCAAATATGGTGAAGTATCCATTAATATTGACATTAATAATATCATTAAAATAAATTAGGAATAAAACCTATCCCAGAACATATCCTCGGCGAATCCCACAGTGAATCATAGAAAGCATTAATGTTCGCTTATTGAAAGAAACTCTTTGTACTCTAGTCTCCAAATAAGACTGGAACCACTTTAGAGCTATTCCTCGGAATCCATATTTTTTAGGTTGCTCAGCAATAATCTGTGATTAACACAATCAGAAGCTTTGGATAAATCATAGAACACTGCAGCAGCTATCTTGTTATCATTTGAGTTGGGGTATAATTTTTCTAGAACAGAAAACATAGCATCGGTGGTATTTTTACTCGATAGAAGCCCAAACTGAGATGTAGATAGTACTCAGTGATTTTTAAAACAAGCTAGAATTCTAATCTTAACCAATTTTTCAGTAATTTTTGCCAAAGTGGGTAATAAAGAAATAGGTCGATAGTTAGGACAATTATGATCACCGCTTTTGTACACAGGTATAAAATTGGTTATTTTTAAAGAATCACTGAAAGAACCTGTCCAAAATGAATGATTGATTGATTCTGCTAAAACATTTAAAGCATCTTCTGGAAGATATGAAAAAAGATTACCTGAAATTTCATCCCAACCTGAGGAATTTTTTTTTGTGGTAGAAGAGAGGATATCCTTAATTTCTACAACATCAGTTGGTATAAAATAAATTTAATAGTTAATATTTACATTATTTAATTAAGACATAGCTTCAGTCGAAGGAGTTATTTGGGTAGACAGTCTTAGACCAACAGAACAATAAAAATCGTTGATTTCCGTAGAGATTAAATTGGTGGCCTTTTGCCTCCTAAGTCATTTATTATTTTCCAAGTCTCTTCCTTTGTTTATTGCCTGCCTCATTTATTCTTTTTAAAGTATAATTGTTTAGCTGCTTTAATCGTTTTCCTGTAAATTGCAAGATATTTCAAGTAATAATTTAAGATAGAACCACTGCCACCTGAACAGTTCTTTATTAGGAACAAGGAGTGTATATTTTTTGCCGAAGTCTTAATCCCTTTAGTTATCCAAGGCATTTTGGGTTTGTTTTTTAGTGTTTTCATCGGAAAAGCATTATTAATTTTTTTTATAGAGTAGTATGAAACTGCTGAAAAGGGTCTGAGGATAACAAGATATTTAACCAATTTTCTTTAATACACAGTTGAGAAAATTTATTGTAATTAGATTTACTGAATATTCTTCCAGATTTAGATGAAGATTTCTGTAATATCTTATAAACTTATTTTTACGATTAGGTTCTTTAACATGTGCAGTTAGATTATAACAATTTAGATAATCTATGTTGAAGACCTGTTAAAATTATTGACGCATTTGGTGGTATTTGAGATAGAATATTTTCTACGCCATTGAAAAATAAATTAATTCGGTGATTTGGTGATCGATATACCACAATTATGAATACATGTAATGAATTACTGTATGCAACTGAAAATTCAAATTCCTTTTCAATAAGAAGTTGGTTATATTTGTTGATTAGAAACTTGTTTCATATAGTGTCGAGTATTGAGTTTTTACTGAGTATATATAAATTTAATTGAAACTGTAAAAGATATATACAAAACAAAGAAATAGGTTTGAAACTACAAAAATCTTTAGTTTGTTGTATACAAAATAATATATTAAAAAGCAGAAAATGTGTGCTACAATTTTCCAATTAAAAAAAGTCATATTTCAAAAAGGACTGACTCTAATTTAAAAGAAAAAAGTTCGTATGAAGATTAATGTCAATGTAGTGTATCAATTAAATGTTATATTTTAAGTTTATATTCTTTAATCATATATTTTATTCAGTTGTCGTCATGATGGTGGGTGAGGTTTATGATGGTGGGTGAGGTTTTCCGGGTTTTCCTCATCTGTAAGTCAAATGGCACCATCAATCATCTTTAAGTCGCCCCGGAGCGCCACGGCAAATAATAATAATAGCCGTCCCTTTCCCCGGACAAGCTCAGCTTTTGGGGTTAAAATTCACTCGTAAGGGGGTGAATTGGGGAGAGTATTATTATTATTATTATTATATTATTATTATTATTTAAAAATTCCCTCTATCACCCTGGCACAAGTCTTTGGATAAAATTTACGAATGTACCCGTATGTTTTAAAAAATATCGAAAATTTTAGAAATCTACCGAACTCGTCACATTAGCAGAAGACTTTAAACACATTTTCGAATCTATACAGAAAGGACATGATTTATTTTGCGCTTACAGAGACCTCGTAAACCATAAGATATTTACTGTCGGTTAAATGGGGAAAAAGTTTTATATTTTGACAGATAATATAACGGTCCACAAAAGTTTTAGATTTCCTGATTAGTTCCGGAGATATTCAAAGGCAATATAACGGGACATTGATAAATAGCAGACTATTTATATTCGATCTAAATTTTTATTGTTTTGATATCTTTGTAGAGGCAAATTGCAATGCACACGAAAAACGTAATACCTAATAATAGAAATAGGTGCTAATTTTTTAAGATCGGATATTATTTAATGAGATTATTTCTGGAGACACAGATGTAATTTAAATAAATAAATAAATACCCAATAAACTAACTTGCTGTCAACATAGGTGAATATCAAGCATGTCTCTCCTTTTCAAACCAGGCAAGGACCCCAAATCTTTAGATTCATACCGTCCTATCTCTCTCATATCAGTACTAGGTAAATTCCTTGAACTTATATTTAAAGAAAGAATCTGAGACTTTTGTGAAGAACGAACATGGTTTCAGACCTCATCACTCCACACAGGACGCAATGTCCTCTCCTCAAACTACACGGTCACTATAGTAAACTCTCTTCAAATATCAACAGCCATTCTACTAGATGTTCAAAAAGCCTTTGACCAAGTCTGGCATGCTAGACTAGTCAAAAAGCTTATGAACATTGGTCTCCCTTCCAGTATCTCCAAACTCATTCACTCTTACCTCACTGACAGAAAAGTCACAGTCAAAGTAGGCAACGCCTTGTCAGACCCATTTACCGCAGTTGTTGGGGTACCACAGGGCTCCGTCCCTATACCTAATATACACCCACCTCCAAACCACCTATCGTCAACATGCATTCTCTACGCCGGCGATACTGCTCTGCTCTCTGTAGCTAAAAATTCTAACCAACTAAGTACTCGAACCCAAAATCTGTTAAACTAGTATTCTCTCTGGTGTAGCAGATGGAGGATCTCACTCAATCCTCAAAAAAACATACATTATCATCTTTAAACATCCGAACTCAAAAAGATTCGCCCATATCTTCCAACCCGTCAATGTAAATTTCCTGTGACTCAGACTCGCTCAACTGATGGAAGAAGGCTATTTATGAGTATGATTTTCGCATACAATCAACTGGTCTTCTAATGTCCAACGCTTTTTTGACAATATGCAAAAGCCAGCCAGTCTCCTTGGGGCTTTGTATGAGCGATTTGGGCGATGCAACCCAAACACTTTAATTATCACATACAATTATTTTATCCACCCCGTTGCCGAGTATAGAGCAGTACCTTACAGGATACTTCCTAGATATCTTGCTCACAAATTCACCATACTCGAGAGTTTTCGAAAACATCTCCAGCACCCCCA